TCTGTACGTTGTGCATGAGCAGCGTCCCCCTCAGTCTGTACGTTGTGTATGAGCAGCGTTCCCCTCAGTCTGTACGTTGTGTATGAGCAGCGTTCCCCTCAGTCTGTACGTTGTGTATGAGCAGCGTTCCCCTCACTCTGTACATTGTGTATGAGTAGTCTTCCTTACTCCGTACATTGCATATCAGTAGAGTTCTCCTCAGTCTGTGTATGAGCAGCATTCCCCTCTGTATGTATGTTGTGTATGAGCAGCATTCTCCTCAGTCTGTACGTTGTGCATGAGCAGAGTTATCTTTGATCTCTGGAGCATGCAGTGAAGTGGGCCTTTGCAGTGCAGTGCTCTGTGCATTAAAACATTTACCGCTATTCAATATTTGAAAGAAGAAACATTAAAGAGCTTGTTCAATAGATCAGCAGAATGTACTGCAAGTTTATCTGATAAAATGCTTAGTGCCCACAGAACTCGGGCCAAAACTAAGAATTCCGGCTAAGAGGGATGGTGCCCCAGTCTGAGGACGGCTGGGCTGTTTTCAGAACGAACAAATGAAATAATTATACCGGGAGATGGTGGTTTGCTCACAGTGGTGTCGCACATGTCTTTGGAATGATCAAGACGCTGACAGTCTGAAATATGTGAGTAAGACAGAAGGCTGGGGGAATCAGGTGGGGGGGGCGGTCCTCTATGCTGTCAGCTAGCCAGCGTTGCTCAGCTCATGTTTGTCTCCTGTCTCAATAGAGGTGCTGGTGCAGCCAAAAGGTCACTAATACGTCTTACAGGACAATAAACACCGCCTGCCTCAGTCTGGGTCCTAACGATTTTTTCGGAGACAATAACAGCGCACTTCATTAAAATGCGATCCATACACCACTAGAAAGAACAGCACAGTCGTGAAGTTCATTCCCCTGCAAAAGGCGGCAGCGTTTCCATCTCATCTGAAGAATCACATCACAGGTCTATCATCTCCATCGTCTACACAGGTCCTGCTGTGAGTTTGCTGCAGAAGCGTTTCAGGGAGGTCTTGAGGGCCCAGCCCTTGGGGAGGTCCTTGACCAGGAGCAATGACAGGGAAGCCCAGCTGATCGTCCCCCAGCCCTCACGTACAGCTCTGTCCCTTTTGTCCCTTACGTCCATTCTAACAGGTAGCACAGTGACTTGGCAGAGGACTCCGAGAAGACCAGTGTGAGTCTGCTAAACACTGCCAACTCTACCCACTACACAAGGACATGCTGTTCAGGTGTGACTGCAAACGGCCTTTAGCGTCTGACTGTGCAATAGCACTCTGTGTGTGTATGTGAGGGGGCACAAACTTAGAAAGTCTGACAGAGCATAAAACATTGTCTGTATTACCTCTCAAAATAGAAGCCTTTTCCAGATTTAGGTATGCCGTTTTAAATATGAGGTCAGGAATAATTAACTGCAATGGAAAAGTGTCACAAACACAAGTGAATGAGTGGGTGAGTTAGTGACTGAATGAGTGATTGAATGAGTAAGTGAATGAATTAGCCAATGATTGAGTGAATGAATGAGTGAGAAAGCAAATGAATGAGCAAGTGAGTGTGTTAGTGAGTGAATGAGTGAAGTGAATGAATTATTGAATTGAGGAATGAGTGAACAAATGAGTAAGCAAATGAGTAAGTGAAGGAGTGAGTGAGTACCCAGCAACTACATTCCCACCTCGGCCCTACACCACATTAGGCTCCCTTCCTCAAGCCACGTCTATAATGCATAAAACAAGACCCAGCAGAACATACGGCCGTGCCCCTCTCCCACCTGGACAGGGCGCGCACGCAGCACCGGGACATATTCAGGAAGGAGCTGGCATTGGCGCGCGTCTGCAGGACTGTTTCGATGCCGCGCAGGAGGTCGTTAGTCTTCAGAAGCAGCAGCATCTGCCGGGGAACCTTGTTGAGGAGCTCGCTGATCTGGGGCAGGTAGCGTGCGGCGTTAGCACGGATCTCCGTGTCCTGCACAGTCATATGGAGAGACAACGTCAATGTAACTTACAGAAGGCTCTAGAAGCTCAAGGTCCATCCAGCTGCAACCTGCAATAAGGGATCCAAAGACGCCTGGAGTGAGGGAGGTCAACACCCACAAAAACATGGCATGTCTCGGTACCCACAATGCTTTGGGCACTGACCCCAAGAGCATCGCGATTCTTCATGCTTGTGTATCCCGAGCTCAACATTTAGGTCCAGCAGGACGTGGGGGGCCGGGTCTGAAGAAGGGATTTGGGCCTCAGAAATAAAGATTTTATTTATGTTCCCGCGAGTGGATTTAATTTCTCACCATCATCGGCTTAGGTAGAGCCAACAGCATAATTCTCTCAGCTGGACTCTTTCTGTCACATTGCATTTCAGGCGCGCGGGCCGATCCACCCATCCTGTCAAGCGGCCATCAGTGGAGAAGCTAGTGCTCGCGAAACAGTGCCTACCCAGTAATAGAACACCAGCCAGCCTCGTACGACATCCATTTTCTCGTTTATTCTCTCTGTCACAGCCTCCACTACTCTGGCCAGGCAACAACAGCAGCTTTATCAGACAATAGGCAGACGTAGAGCCCACGGCTGCCTCAGAGGAGTTTGCTTCTGGGCCTTATCTGTGCGTCAACCCAACCCGAGATTGCATGTGGCTCTCACAGCAGGCCAGCTAGTGGCCCCTACTCCTGTCCAACTCCTCCTCTGTGACACACTTTAGCCACGCCCATGTACACACGGGGCCCTCGTCTCAAACTAACACAGGCTTTGCTCATGATTTCTGCCATCTGGTTCTACTCAATCTTCTTTTGGCTTGGAGATCATGGTCCTGGTGATTCCACACTAGGTGGTGGTCAGTGTCTGCAACAGAACAAATCTGATGACCGGAGCCATGATATTTGGTGGTGTTGGTGGGTTATGGGGGGCGGGGGTGGTGGGCCATGGGAGGGGGGTGGAACTGGTCCGAGGGAGCCCACTTCTCTAAATGCAAGGGTCTGCCTTGGGAACCTCAATGTACAGCACTTAGTTCAGACTTACTCACAGCAACTTAGGCTTACACAGATGTCATCAAAACACTCACTAAGGACTGATCAACAACAGGCAGTAATAGAAAGGAAACAAAGGAAAGACAAGTAGCTGGAGAGGAATGGGCCCTGCTGTCTGTTACAGAGACAGACATGTACCGATTCTCCCCCAGATGTGAATCAAACATGGCACATTGTTCATAGTGAGGGTCAGAGGCAATGGCAGAAGATGATGAACAACATGCGGCAAGGTAGGTGTCACGTGTGGTAACAGGATTAAGCCAAGATAAGCCACCAACAAGCTGGTTCTAAGCCCGACCTACAGTAACCACACTGCTCAAAGAGGACAAAGTAAATCACTACTGATGCCTGATCACCACTAACAAAAGTGATCATCACATGTAAAAGCAGCTGACATCACATGTAAAAGCAGCTGACATCACATGTAAAAGCAGCTGACTCGGTTAAAAGAAATGCAATGATCTGAAGAATTCAAATCAGCCAAGAGCTCGAGCACCTCCGCTGACATTGTACGCCAGAGGTGACGCAAAGCCTTGTGTTTAGGACAAACCTGCAGCCATAATGCCTCAAACTGATAACGCGGGTCTTCCAGAGAGCACAATCAATTAAGAACTTCCGGGAAAGTGATTAGTCAGCTGGCATCTACCCACAGACCGACAGCCTTGAATTACACAGCTACTTACAGCTACCTATACTTGTGGGCCAGTGAAAAGAGTGTGGCAAAGTGCAATCACCGAAGTGCACGCTACTTGTGAGACACACATACCCGGAATGAACGCTTCTTTAGACGGCTACCATGAAAATCAGGAAATAGGTGAGAGATTCACACTCCAAGGGCCAGCTCCACATGCAATCCCAGAAGGCACTTTGGCATCAAGCTCACGCCTGACAGCACGGGGATTTTTAAACGAGCTGTAATTTAATAACTACGATTTCTGTCCTATAACTAAAAAACATCTAGCAGCTACCTTATGTTTATGCTAATCCCTAAAGCTCCGTTTATATGATTTCAGCAGGGAGATTAGAGGGTTCCAGTGGATTGCAGTACCGCAGTGCTTGTGTGGGACGAAGGGGGCTCTGAGCAAAAACAGCCAAAAGCTAGAGGAGAAATTCCACGACCTCTAACCCTGCCCTCAGCCCTGAGTAATCGAGCATCGACTCTCCAGGCAGGAAGCGTAGCCTAACCCAAACCTGAACACTGACCTCCACATCAATCTCCATGCCGCAGCTGCGTCACGTCCTGACAGCTCTGCTGCACTCTCTGCAGAGGCAGGCTGCCGTGTGACCGGTGTCAGAAATTGTTTCGTTCCTTTTTTAATTTTATTTTTTTTTTAACCATCAAAGGAACATACAAGCCCCCTGAAAGCACCCCCCCCCCCCAGTCTGACGAACTGGCAGCCCCCAGCTCTGCTCTATTTCGGGACTCGACAGAGCGGAGACCACGTGGAGACGTAGGCGAGGGATTAGCGATGTGCAGGATTTCCGCCGTGGCACTACGACTACAGGTGACACGCAAAGAGCTTTTCTGTGTTGGGCTGGACACAGAAAGGTACCAGAAGCATCTCCTGCGTATGTCTGGGGGGGTTAAGCAGACACAAGGGTCCTCGGTAATCTGCCTCACATGTTATCATAATCACAATACATTATTGCATTGTATTTACTTAACAGATACTTTCATGAAAAGCAGAGTCAGATGGAGGGTTAAGGCCCTCGGCTCAAGGGCCCAATGGTGAAATCCTCTGCCAGCACTGGGAACTGAACTGGTGACCTTCTGAATGCAACCACAGCGCCCTGACCCACTGAGCCGCATGCTGGCCCTATGGTCTGCCAAAGTGTTCAGAAGAGCAGCCACGACGCCTGCAGAAGGAGTCTAAGTTCTACAATCCGCACCCAGTTACATGACTGATTCAAAAGAAACAGTGTGGTGGGGTTGAGCGCTGGGTCCCTGGCTCTCTGTGCGCTGGGTCCCTGGCTCTCTGTGCGCTGGGTCCCTGGCTCTCTGTGCGCTGGGTCCCTGTGCGCTGGCTCTCTGTGCGCTGGCTCTCTGTGCGCTGGCTCTCTGTGCGCTGGCTCTCTGTGCGCTGGGTCGCTGGCTCTCTGTGCGCTGGGTCGCTGGCTCTCTGTGCGCTGGGTCGCTGGCTCTCTGTGCGCTGGGTCGCTGGCTCTCTGTGCGCTGGGTGGCTGGCTCTCTGTGCGCTGGCTCTCTGTGCGCTGGGTGGCTGGCTCTCTGTGCAGACGGTGACTGTGCCAGGCATCCATCGCCCGGGTGCAGCATACCACCCAGTCCTGATAGGCAGAGGTCTTGGTGATGGGGGGGGGGGGGGGGGCAATCATAACCAATGGTACAGTTGACTCCACCCAGTGGATTCCTCTACTCTGTCTCCCTCAGGGACTTTCAAAAACAGGGTGTTGATCAGCAGCGGCATCACAGCAAACAACCCAAAATAATCTCTCCCCTGGGACAGGCATGGGTGCAGTAAGCTGGGGATCTATCCATCCCCCATGCAGACCCCATTAGCATAGGCAGGCCTCGACTGTTGGGAGCAGGGCCTGATGTGTAACGTCACAGTGAAGAGTAAAGTGCTCCGAGAACAATCAGAGAAAAGAGGGAGTGTCAAAATAAACGAGAAGGGTGGGAAAATTACTGAGACTAAAAAAACGATTCATCACTTCAGTTATGTCAAAACAATAATATTAACATAACAAGAAAGGATAAAATAAATACAGCCTTCAGTGGGCACTGAAGTACAGGATTCCTTTGCACAGCGCCTAACCATCACACTGCTGTTTTGGAGTTAGGGTTTAGGGTACAGCTTATTGACAGAAAACAGTGAGGAGCCCATGAGACTGTAATTAATCCTCCTTGGCCAGTATTAATTGCAGCATTTGCATTCAGGGCATTTGGGAAATGTAATGCCCGGGTATTAAGCTGCAGACGACAGCCCAGACTGACAACCCGCCAACTCAAAGCCGTCACGGAGGTTAGTTACGAGGCCGTCAGATGTAGACCTCAAACAGGTTCCAGCCACAAGGGGGCACTCCACCAAATGGCCCCAGACACACTAGCACCCATAATGGGCCACCTGTAGAGAGAGAGAGAGAGATGCTGATAGACAAGGGCAGTGTTTCCCAATCCACTCCTCAGGGACCCACAGAAAGTCCATGTTTTTGCTTACCGGGAGCTGGGAGGGAGCAAAAATGTGGACCGGCTGTGGGTCCCCGAGGACCGGATTGGGAAACAATGCGCAAGAGGACCAGAGCACAGAGACGACCAGGGGCATCTGCTCTGGACGTCCTGCAGGCCCAGCAGACACCACGCCACCAGCGGACCAGCTGGTTTCAGCACTTAGCCTTCTGCACTTCCATCTGAATCATGACAGGGTGAAGAAGAGGGCGACGTACGCGTACCATCTGAGAGAATGCCGGCAAAAAGGACAGAAGTGACCCAGAAGGCCATGACAAATGGCGGCAGAGTCCTCCGTTTCCAGGAGAATCCAGGACAGCCACTGACAGCCCACTACAACTAAATTATAAAATTATAAATTTCCTCTACAGCGGGCAGGGTGCTGGGATAGGAGGGGTTAAAAGCACAGGTGTCTGGATTCGGGGCTCTTCCTGGCCGGGAGGGTCTTCATTTCCACTTGGCATTCTTTGGTTTAAAGCACAGTGGCTACATTTTCATTTTAGAATAAACTCAATTTCAGATAACCGCGCCAGACCAACAATGCGGATGCGATTGCTCCTCACACGCCACCTCCAGAGGCAAAGGTGTTTTCTTAACACGACGTCTGCTTTCTTCTCCATCAAGCCCACAGAGATAAAAGGGAGCTGGGGTGTGGACACATTGAGGAGACAGCAGGCCAGCGCCCCCTCAGGGAGATGTGAGGAGGCGAGGCAGTCTCCCTGTCGTATCCCACCACGCCGGTCCAGCCTGGCTGCTTGGAGG